CTAAATTAGAGCGTAAAAGAGCACAATACCAGCCGAATGGCTCATTTTAAGCGTTTGAACACTAAAATCTACGAGGCGAAAGGCCCTGATGTGACCCCAGATTTTATTTACTGGAAGCAGCTGACGGTGAGTTAACTAACATGTTGGGAACTTTAGGCCTGTTTTTCCTCTTATCGCTATATATCTCGATTTAGCTTCACCCGGTTTAGTCAGTATTAGATTTACGTATTTTTTCATTTCTGTTATCTCCTTTTCTTTAGTTTTACGACTGCATTATTCCTCTGTATTCTCTCTGTATGAATTTGAGCAGAACTGATAAATCATGTATGTAATAAGAACTGTTATTTTATGTTGTATTCTAGGTTGTAGACAATTCACTACTTTTCTTGAATAATAACGTTGACTGAAAATTAATAATTAAACAAATTTCAAACTGGATATTTAGACCATAAAAACAGTGTAATTTAACCTCGTTCTTCAATTACAGCAACCGGTTTTGGTCAAAGAATTCGGCCCAATCGACCATATAGATTTTTCGCCAAAGGAGCCCCATCATTTCGCAGTAACATGTTCAGTTAGGGTGCAAATTTACAACCCCATCACTAAACTTGTGACCAAAAATCTGTCGCGGTTTAGGGAAAATGCGTATGGGGCTGTATTCAGAAGCGATGGCACCCTCATTGTGGCCGGCGGCGAAGAAAAAAATATTAAAATCTTTGATGTGTCCACAAAGAGTATGTTAAGGTTTGCTGTTTACAGTGTTAAAAAGCCGAAGTTTTGCTCCTTTTTATGTTCTGTTTGTAGGTTGTTTAAGGGTCACTCCGCCCCAGTGCACAGAGTAGCTTTTGTAAATAGAGAACCACAGATAGTCTCATTTTCCGATGATAAATCTGTTAAGGTCTGGGATATTCCCACTGAAAACACTCTGCATACTTTTGAGGGACATAATGATTATATTCGGTTAGTTTCAAAACCCTCTCTAAATCAAGGAGATGTTGTTTTTTTATTTTAAGGGCAGGCCAAGTTAGTCCAGATGTTCCAAATATTGTACTGTCCGGCAGCTATGATAGTATTATCAAAATGTGGGATACGCGGACGGCTAAAGAAGTCATGACAATGGACCATAAAAGCCCTGTAGAATCCCTACTGTTCATGCCCAATGGGGGGATGTTTTTGAGCTCCGGTGGCACAGACATCAAGGTAAGTGAATCTCGAGTTCTTTTTCCTTCTGTGTACTGATCATGTGTTACATTTTAGATTTGGGATGTTTTAGCCGGAGGTAAACTAAGAGGCGCTTTAGCTCAACACCATAAAACTGTAACTTGCTTAAAGTTGGGTTCAGGTGGCAAACGATTGCTCTCTGGCAGTTTAGATAGACATGTGAAGATATATGATGTTTCCACGTTTAAGGTTTGAACATTCAGGTTTTTTTGCTGTCTTTGTAAGCTTAATTCGATTTTTTTCGAATGCAACCGTTATCGAAAAAAAAAATAGAACAAACGCATTTACTCAAATTAAAATTTAGATATCTGAAAATCTGCAAATGTTTGTTAACAAGTTCCATATTTATATAATTTTTTCGTGATACAATAACCAAGACTTAACAATTTCCATAGAAACATTACTTTTTTATACAGCACATAATAGTATTTTGCTTTTTAGGTTGTGCACACGCTGGACTTTCCTAACGCTATTCTAAGCTTGGGTATGTTTTACTCACATTTTTTAAAGGCAAAACATTTACGTTGATAATTTTCAGGAATTGCACCGGATGATTCCACGGTGGTAGCAGGCTTAAGTGATGGAGTGATCGCTGTGCAGAGGCGAAGTGAAGAAACCACATCGGAAAAACGACCGAAAAAAGTGGCCTTTAATTACAAATTCCATGACATTCTTTCCAATGTAGATGAAATTGTACCCGATTTACAGTAAGTATTTGTAGTTAGAATAATTTATAGATATTTCAACTGATTGTTTTTTGCTTGCAGAAATGAAAAAGAAGCCAAATATGATTACTACTTCAGAAAATTTGAATATGCCAAGGCTTTAAAAGCCGCCTTAATGCCCTACGTCGTAAATAAACACCCGGAAAGGACTGTGGCCGTTCTTCGGGAGCTGCAGAAAAGGAAAGGACTTCCGAAGGTGTTAAAATATAAAGACTCAAATCTCCCTAATTGGTTAACAACGATTAAGCAATTGGTTAGATTTTTTATTAGGTAAAGCGGTCTAAAGCTGTCAACTCAGCTAATTTATTAAACTTGTCTGTAACTTTTAGCCACATTACCGATCAGAGGTTTACTAGATTCCTAGTGTCCATAGCAGACGAATTTATCGATATCATAGCAGACCGGGTAGACGCTTTGCCTTCAGACATTGGTGAGTAAAAAATATGTCGATAAATGAAGAAGTTTAAGAAGAGATAGTTTAATTCGGAAGTAGGTAACAGTGGTGTGTTCTTTAGGTTTACTCTTGGTGCAATTGTACGAAGTTTTAAACCGAGAGAACAACCTCGCCATGGAGCTAGCTATGGTTGAAGGGATGATGCAAACCTTACTATATGCTCAAGTAACAGCGGAAACCGACAATGAAATCAATTATAAACTGGTTAAAACAGGTGAAAATAACGCAATTTCAGCTAAATAGATTTTATTACCATACTTTTTATTTGATGTCAGTCCTTTTTTTATTCCTTTTTATGAGCGGAATTGGGTTGCGATGCTTTATTTTTTGATATATTGTCTAACCTTAACTGGATTGCTTCCAACGTGCTGTATAGTTGTTGCAGGTCTTCTTCGCCCATTTCCAATATTGCCGCTTCCTTTTTCGTCTCATCAGTGACCTACAAAAGCATTTGATTTAAAGATTTCGATTGCAAAACTTCCATAAAGTTCGTTTATTGTCGTAAATCATGAACGAAATGAGGATTATACCTTAGTAAGGTCTAGCTGTATTTTCGCATTGGGAATCACCTGCTTATTGCCCATATCTGAAGCGACTTGCATGTTGAGTTCCCATTTTAGACTATTCAGTGTATGTCTGTCTTCAAAGGCTCCCAACTCTTTTTTAGTTTCAGCTAGCCACTGCTTGGTGAAAATCTCCGCTTTTCCTTGATCGAGGCCAATTTTCTCTACCAACTGACTTTCCAATTCGGTGGGCTTTAGAATAACTCTTCTACTTTGCTTATAGATGTAAGCGATGCTTTGCACAAGAAGCTGTAGTTGGTTTTCATCCAGCTTCAAATTGTCCTGCAGTTTCTGCAACTCAGTTTCAGTAAAGTAGTCATCGCTACTGGAATTGATTATATGGGATAGAAGGAGTTCGTATCTCTTCGTGTTCAAATTGTTTATCAAAGAAGCTCCTTGTTGTAACCTGAAATGATGTTGATAATAGAGTCTCCTAGTTGGACTGATGGAGGTGCTTTAGACCTGTTGTTTATAGTGATCCATTGTAAGTCGCTCATTTTTTATAATTATTTCCTAGTGATTATGATCATATTTTCAAGAATCTGCAAATTGTGGGATGAATATGAGGGTAAAAATTCTAAAGTTTGTTGTTGTTGTGATAGATTGACAGCTAGTGAAATACCAAACAGTGACAAAGAAGTCAATGTAAAAAAGTTATTGATGACTTGGCAATGCCCAGAAAGGCGCCTGATAAATCATGAAAATGAACTTTTTCATAAGATTAAACGCCCATGAAACAATCGGAAATTTTTTAAAAGCGTTGAACTTCTTTTAGCATTTTTCACAAAAATTTAATTTTAAGCTAAAATACTTTGAATCGTTTCGAAACTAATGTTGATAGGGCGTGCCATAGTGTATGGTTGGTTGCGCATCATATGTGTCAGCATTTGAACGTAAATAAAAAATAAACAGAAAATAATCAATTTTCTTTTCCCATCATTAGACCCGCATACATTTGCCAGCTATAAATTCCCTATCCCTATCTTTGGGCGGGCAGTCCGTAGTCGGTTTTAAGTGAGATGTTCTGCGGCCCCTTTTAAGAGCACCACCGCAGCTGTAGCAAAAAAATGACGCTCTACATTGAGGTCCTAGTGTTTGGGGCTCTGCTGGGGTTGCCTTTTTTATATGAAACCAGACCGGCCTTTTGCTATTGCCTAAAGTTTTTAGTGTATTACGCCGTTGTAATGTTAAATTCAGTTATATTGATACCAGTGTTTCTTCTGAGGCCCTGGAGTGTCTTCAACTTGGTGTAAGTACTGCTATTGTTTATGTAGGTTAGGTCAGGTTCAAATGCCTCAAATAATTAGAGTTTGAGGGCTGTTTTTATTTTGCCCAGTATGAGCCGGCCAATTGTTCATTCTGGAATGTTGCGCTGAATTTATTGAGCCCCTATAGGGGCTCAATAAAGGACTGTTGGCTATGTTTCTTTCCACTTTACAATATACTCCAAATTGAGGTGACAGGGATTGTTTAAAAAGTGGAAAGTAAGCTCCAGTTTTGGCCGAGAAAATGTTTATTTCTTGAAAGTTTTTAGCTGTTATGTACCCAGTAGGATTTCATTTTAATTTCCTTGTTTAGAGGTGCTTTTGGTGGCAGAATTTAAAATGTTTCGACAATTTCCGGCAGGACTATTTTATCGCCCCCTTTAAAAGAGCTGAGGCGAAACCAGTGAGGGTTTGAGATCTTTGCCGAATTTCTCAAATATTTCTGAGCTTCTATTTTGTTGACTTCTACTAGTTGACTGTTTATTTGAGAAAATCAAAATCTTCCGGATTTTGCCATGATCATTTTTTGTTTGTTCTTACGCTCTTATTGCAATCATATTCATATTTACTGTTTTTATGCTTAATAGTTGTACTTATACACATTTGAGTCCTAATTTGGTTTTTTTACTTGCTACGAAAATTTCACCACAGATTTCAGCAACAGTTGGTATATGTATGTTTAAAGCAAGATTGAGACATCATTTTTAAATGTGTGAACAATTTTTTATTTAACTTCGATTGGTTTAGGATTGCTTCATATTTTTGCCGTTGGATCACTCATCTGATAGGCGTTAAATGGGAGCTTAGAAACGGTGAAATCCTGGAACCCCAAGAACCGTGTATAATTGTCTCCAATCATCAAAGTTCCTTAGATATCCTGGGTAGGTTTTGCTCGACTTTAACATGAATATTTTTTCAATTGTTTGTTCTCTGGCTTATTGTATTACTTAATAATTATTTTTTTTACAGGGATGTTTCAAATATGGTCCACAATGGGCAGATGTACAGTGATAGCCAAAAAAGAGCTTTTTTGGGCTTGGCCGTTTGGAATGGCTGCATGGTTGGCGGGTCTGGTGTTCATTCCCAGAGTGAAAACCAAAGCCGAACAAGCTAAGGCCGTCATTAATGAGGCTGTGGAAAAAGTGGCTCAAGAAAAGGCAAGTTACATTTCTTCTTTAGAAAATATTCAATATTTTTACCGAAAAACTTTAAGACCAGTCAAGGTGGACGCTTTGTAGTATTTGGCAAATGTTGATGATAATTAAATCTCCCAAAATTAAAGCTAGTTAAAAAAATTGCAGAAGGCATCAGGGGGTGTACTGGAAAAATAATCAATATAATTCGATTGAAATTAGGTGCGACCACACGTAATTGTTCTCCACAGGAAATCGAAGCAGCAAAGAAACTTAGGCGCGCAGTGTATATTCAGTTACATTCTCTAATTCAATATTTAACTGAAATAAAACTTTGAAATAAAATGCGATGTTTATTTAATTCGAGTGAAGCTAAAGAGGAACTAGAACAGGAAATGTAGCAATTTATATTTGATGAACAAGACAGGGCATTATATGCCCGAATTGAACATTCGAATCTTATAATGGGGCAACTTTCTAACATTAACGGCATTTTTTTAGAAGATTTAGTATCCGACAAAACATATAACTAGTGTCCAACAATTGAATTGGGTCAATGCTTGATTAAACATTTAAGCACTGATAAATCACTTGTACTTAACAAAAATTCCTTTTCATTAATTATAAAGTTGTATTGATTATTTTATTTGAACAATCGAGGCTTTTTCTTGTCAACACCAGTAGCTACATTATTTAATAAAAATATCGATTTCCTACCGCATATCAATCATATTAAAATTAATGTTACAAAAAGGTTTGTTTGTTATTGTCGCAAGCTGTTTAAACTCGTTCCAATGGTTTTAGTTCCATATTAGTAACAAATAAGTATCGATTTTCATTGTTTTGGTCAGGCGATTAAATTCGCATACCTGCTAAAGTGACTCAATGATTATGGTATTCGAAATTGATATGTATAATTATCGAGACCACCTTTGTCAGACCTTGTAACTAGCAAGGACAGTTTTGATTGACTGAATAGCTAAATTGGAAAAGTGCGTTAGGCATATCATAACGGACGTTAAATATGTCTTATCAACTTTTTTTACTCAAATACTCAACTTTGCTATCTATGCATTAACTTAAGTATAGACTTTTGCATAAGTAACAATTCCCCCTTGGTTCAAAGGTATAATTTCCTTAAATCTATATTTAAAACGAGTAATTTACTTGGAGTATCTTCGGTATGTTCCTAGAACTATTGGAAACTACTTTAATTTCCTTATTACTTCCTTCCTTTTAGCATTATTAATCAAACATCGTCTCGCTTGATCATCAAGCGAGAATAACTGAACAAAGAGGTTCTTACGTAGATGCACAATACTTAGTACTCAGATGATAATTTTGTTATTTTGATTACAGACAAAATTATGGATATTTCCCGAAGGAACTAGGAGAAACACAGGCGAAATTCATCCATTCAAGAAGGGCGCGTTTCATTCGGCAATCTCAGCTCAATTACCAGTGATTCCCGTCGTTTTTAGCAACTACTATTTTTTGGATAGACCGAACAAGAAATTCGATCAAGGTAAACATCTAAACTGAATGCTCTAATGTCGTAAATATATCAAACTTTGAGACCTGCGGAATGGAGACCACACATTGAATGCATCTTTCAATATGAATGTGGTAGCTGGAGTTATAAGGAGATTAAAAGAAAATTTCTCATTAATCGTTCTGGCCAATTTTACCAACAAAACTATTGTCTCAATCAGTCATGTACAGGAATTGGGGGTTTTCACATCTTCTTGCAGGGCGTAAATATGTTTCACATATTTAATCTACTATTTAGTGCACATTTTTTTCTGCCTGATGGTTTGTGTGTGTATTCGGCTTTGATTTATTTAAAATCCTCAAAGTTATGTGAATAATGGCAAATATTATTTTCATTTATAAAGAACTCCTAGGTAAGTAACTGCGATTGTTTTTGCTAAAACTTGAAGTATTTGCTATAATAATTTCAAATAAAGAACGGAAATCAGTTCAAAATTGAAAATATAGGCTAAATCAAATGCTAGCGTTTTGCTTTCTGGTAAGTATTCTGTATTCTAAAAGTATTGGCCGGTAAGTAAGCGATTAATCCGTTGGTAAGCTAGCCTATCCTTACCTGTTCAATTTTGAAAAATTTTCGGAATCCCGACATTTTATGTCTAAGTATTAAGTTCGATGAATTGAAAAATTCGGATCGAAAAGATACTTAAGTTTATATAAGTATTATTGGTGATTCTTCATCTATGTTAATATCTATTATTTGCTCATATACTTGGAATTTTGAGTCAAAGTCGTGTTCTAACAAATTATGTATCCAGTAAACTTATCTGGCCTTGTTCAGATTGACCCTGATTATTCCAATTTCTTATTTTGTGCTGATAATTACAAAAGGATTTCTGGGTGTTTCCAGTGAAACGAGCAACTACGTGAGCGGCAAGTTATGCTTTGCATCAGCATAACTTGCGGCAAAAAAGTACACCTTTTGGTTTCATAACATCTCCAAAACCGTTTGCTCAAAAAATTACACGCTACATCTTAAACGATTTTATTCTTTTCATCATGCGCATCAATTTAGAGCTTGAACTCATTTGTCTAGGTGTGGTAATAGTGAAAGTCCTCGAACCTTTAAGTACAAAAGGCCTCACACTAGATGATGTGGAAAAGTTCACGGATCTGGTGTATGAAAAAATGTCACAAGCTTTTCACCAGATCAACAAAGAAGCTCTAATTCATCGAGAGTCCAGCAAACATAGCGCTTCCAATTTCACTCTACTGAAGTGATTTTACAGCGCTGGTTAAACAAAAACTCAAGCTTCAGTCGTTTAAATCTGAATATCGTTAACCTGAGAAATTATTGTGTATGTATTTGTTTTTGTGTTTATGTTTTTACCTCTCTTGACTGTATGCCATATTATTTTTTGCGACAACGAATGGTCTCAAGTTAAAATAGTGAAACGGAACGGCAAAATTATCAAAGGTTTGGTTGAAAGTTAAGACTGAACAAGAAGGGCCTAGATGCTAGACTTTCAATCTTTTTGATAATGTCTGTATTTCTCTATCGCTAGAGCGACTCATACATAGAGTTTCTATTTCATTTAATTTTAAACTACGATAAACCAAAGTTATTTTAAACTAGCTGACAGCATTCCTAAACGTTTCTCTAGGCATAAGAAAAGACATTTTATATTCGTTTTATGTTTAGACTGTTCTATAGTAGGCCTAAGTTTTTTTGAATTATATTATGAACATTTCAGTTTTGGGGCATAATAGTTAAGAATGATACATAAGTCTCCATAGTTTCTGGGAAGATAATGACATTCTTACATAAGGTAGATTTTTTCACTAATAGATCAAAACCAAAAAGGCATTGCCTTGATTATGCTTTCATAAGAGCGCATTAAGTTTATGTTCCATCATATAGGAAGCCATTGTTCGCACATTTTTGGTTTGTTCTAGTTAAACGCTTTTAAAATCGTGCCATGTATAAGTGCTTATTAAAACTGATATTTCTTGCGTTCTTTACCTGATAACAGTTTTCAACTTCAAACGTATTATTAGTTTAACGTTGTATTTATGTGTAGTGATTTTGATGTCCTAAGCAAATAACCGATAATCCATTTTACGATGCCTACAAGCTGTTTAAATTAATTGTTTATCAGTATCGCTTGTTGCATACAGACGGTTATAGTTTTTGTACTTTCGCTTTGAGCATTCGTTTCAGGCACAAATTGATTTTTCTGTTATTTAATATCGAATTTCTAGTCTTAGTCTACACTAAGTAATCTCGTTTATTGCCATTCCTGTATTGGTTGTGATCAAATCTTTTGCCAAAAATTATTATTTAGGTTGTAAGTGTTTTAGTTTTATAGAACATACCTAGTGGGTTTTCGCCTGTACTCTACGGAATTTATGTTATTGAAACAATGTTTACCGGTTCAGTTTTATATTAAAGAAGAATGAAACGTGGTCAGATTACTATTGAATTTTAAGTCGAGTATTCTGTATAGAAACTGAAGAAAATTGCTGTTACAGTCAAAATTTCACTACAGAGAGTGCAGAATATCCTTTTTGAAGTTAAATTGGGACAACAAACGTTTTGGTTTCTCCTTGAGAAATTGGGAAAAGTTTTTCGAGTGAACGAAATGTTATGCTTCTCGAGGTATATTTTTGGGAGCATTTTGCAATATTAATTTTTATCGAAGAAATCAAGAAAATTGCAATCAAAGTGAAATTTTTACTACCTACTGATCAAATATTCTCTTTAAAATTTACTAAAAATCTTACAATATTGCCGTGACCAATTTTTGAAAAGTCTGTGTGCAAACGTTCACTCACTTCCTGTGCTTTTGGAAAAATTGTTAAAAATCGACGAACAATCTGGCCAAAATTGATTGTCCTAATTTTTATCAAAAAAATGGGAATGTTTGTATGTTTTGCCGATAGCACATATTTTATAGCAATTTACTCAAATATACAGCAGCACAAGATGGAATATTTATTTTAGCAGTATGAGCTGTATTAGTACTGTTAAGGAAAACATGATTTGTTAAAATCTCTTCAGTTTTAACTCTCAAAGCAAGCAGTATTCATGGAAGTATCAGCAAGATTTTTTATTGAATGTCATCAGTTTTGTATTATTTGCTCAATAAAAAATACAAAGTTCGAACTAGCTTTTCATTTTTGTTTAAGCTAAGCGTAGATATAAATTTCCGAAGTACCGTCAGTTAATTATTTGTAGTTAATTAGTTCATCCTCTGGAAAAAACGTTAAATCGTTTCCGGAACTAAACTGTGCTAGTAATCAGCAACGACTAGTAGCAGATTTTAGAGTTTGCTTTAAGAAAAACAGCAAACTTTTCATAAAGAATCGACTGACAAAGGAGAACTGAAAACTTTCACGAATAGAATCATACCCACTAAGAGAACCGAAGATTCCGAAAAATAGACTTTCCCCTTTTTGTCTTGTGAGCTTATTGAGTTTTTTTGGGCACACAGTGCATAAAAATGGTGTAAATTAAAAGAAAAACAAAATAATACACAATTATTTTATTAATTTAGTATTTCATCATTTTACAAAACATAGAGGATAAAGTTGTTAACTTTACATATGATATATCTTTACATAAAATGGTGTATACCAGTTGGCTTTAAACTGAATTCATCGAAATTAATTTAAAACCGACTCATAAAATGTAGAATCTTAAGCTGCAATTACGGCAACCGAAAAACTGGCGGTTAAACGCTTGAAATTGCAGCTGCAAACTCTTTAGAATAATTATCTACTGAATTAATATTTTTCAAGCAAATCTTTGTCATTTCGACGAGCTTTTTTCATTGGTAAACTTTCATCATTTAGTTTTTGTTTTATTCGGATTTTTAAGCAGCTTATTAAATTGATACAAAATAATTGAAAACTGACTCATTTTGATGCTATTTCTATTTTGGTGCTCACAATAATAATTCTATTTTGGGGATTGTTCTGAATTACCGTGTATAATGATTAACCAACATCAAAAATTGCACAACGCTATCAGCGTTTACTGGGTTTTATCGTTGTTTCCTCAAGCAAATTTTTTTCAGTTGTGTCGTACAACTTTTGCTGTTTTAATTTTATTTAGTCCAAGCTCGAAGTGACAATTTTGCTCCCTTAAAAATTACAATAGACAGTAGCTTTAGGAAGACATATTTGGCGATCTCGCCTGCAGACTTAACTATATATAAACAATCATAATAGAAACCACAAAATGTGGTTTAGTACTAAAAAAATTAACTAATTGATCTGATGAATTTGTGGACAACTTATTTTTGTGTTTGCGCTTATGAGTAGATTTGGTGGTTCCCATTACAAAGTTTACAATAGTTTACATATACATGTATATTATCAAATAATCTAGTATGGTAACAAATACGAATATAGAATAATATTTTCACTTAGTTTTTTTATCTACTTTATATACTTTTTTCGTACATACAGGTTCAAAATAAGATGTTCTAGGGCAATTCACAGCTTATTCACGATTTATAAAAAGCGATTGATTCTCGATGATTGATTTTGTTTACATAGTTATTTACATTTATTTTGTGGTCAAAATATTACTTTCTTTGCTAGTATAACATTAGTGTGAGTAACAATTTTCATTAAAAATATCTGTAAATTTTTCAATAAGTTTCAAAAGTATTTTTATTGCTTGTTGGGATATGTTTGGTTCTACATTTTTAATTTATTGCAGTTTTTGCAGCAACCCTGTTAAATAACAGGAAAAATCGTTACGTTTTACACGAACGATTCTTAAACAGTACCTACAATGAATTGCATAAAGCAAAACTTGTGAGCATGTTCTTTTAGGTGCTTTACACAATATCGATATGTCTAGTTCTATACTGTATACATATATAAAATATTTAATTTACCTCAAATTTTCTATTTACTGAAACTCAAAAAAATATTCTGGCCGATTTGTTTAATTCACCACAAATTAAGCCGAGTACAGTTTGGTGGATTACAAAACAGGGATTTACTTAAACAAACAACAACAGTTGAAATAAAAGCGTTCAGGCCGTTTCAAAAGGCCGCCGCTTTACAGTTATGACCCTTTAGGGATTCAATTAATTTGTGGGGGACCTTTGTTATCTTATCTCTTGATTACCGTATTATCATTGCGCTTTTATGAGCCAGAAACACAAGCGAATCTTCATCACCGAGTGGAAGCAGGATTTTATTAATGGCGCAATTTAAAGGATTGATTTTATTGAAACAGATAAGAAGGTTCTGTACTTTTTTTACCTGATTATGTAATTTTTTAAAAAGCTGTATTAGTAACTTTTAGTTAAACTGTTTCGCATATTCTTTGCTTTGCAATTGACCAATTTTTGACTTTATTGTTTGTTCAATTAATTTATTTTTTTGCAGCTACAATTTGTAGTTCATATCTTGTCTTATTTTACTATGTTACCTAAATATGCACTCTAAGAATAATTACATGCTAATAAGATTCCTTTGTTTTCTACTAAATCCACTTGTTATAAATTATCTGTTACTCCAGTGCGATTTAACATTTTTATAGCCATCTAAATTTGAGTAGTTTTCCTAAATTGCCGGATAACAATTGCCTAAATAAATATAAACATTTCTAATATAATTCTCTAGTTTTTCGTAAATAAGCTGTGAATCGCAAATATAAATTCGCCGTAAATGATTGTTCTACAAATTTTTCAGTAAAATGGAAGAACGAGCGCAAAAAAGACAAGAGCGATCAAAGATTTCATCTGAAGTCGCTCTTTTCCTTTCACCTTATTCTTCAGCAATTCAGTTACAATTAAGAAGTGTCTCAGTCCTCAATTTAAAACATATAGTATTCGATAAATCGGGAAAACTGGCTCAAGTTTCAACTTGGTTTTTTACAAATTTCATTTTTGACTCTAAAATAATTTTTTCCATTGTATCACTGGAGCCTGGTTTCTCCTCTCCATTGACCATAAATCAGCAATATCTCAATAGGGGCGCGGTCAAAAAGCAGACTATTATATAATAATAGCCGAAGTAAAAGCAGCATATTATATGATCACAGCTACTCTTTTTGTCTGGAAACTAGTCTAAGATATGTGTAAAACTGATCACTCGCGGATTACTGCGTTAATGCTTTTCGACGAGCCCCTGTAGCAACTGAATCTTATTCCCTAAAAGTGCAAAAGCGCTGAGTAACTCGTTTTGTTGTCTTTATCATAAGAAAGTAGTTAGAAAGATAGATGGAATGAGTATCTAGAGTGTATCGGCATTTTGCTCATTCGAAATTTGTAAGACTTACATAGATACACTTTGGATATATTTCCAGTGGTACGTAAAATTAATCAGTTTCAGTATGTAATTGATGATATTTTATCATGATTTATTTACTAGTAGAGGTCATATTACTGTACTTAAAATGTGTGGCCAAAAATCGGAAATTATTAGTTGGATATCAGATTAATGGCGTGAACTACTAATTTACAAAGATGTTTTCACCTTTACGTAGGTTTGCAAATTTCGAAGTAATTATTTCTTGGATAAGTTTATTCGTAGCTGAAGGCTTATAATTCGAAGTTAATCACACTTATGGAGAAGAAGGTAATGCAACAAATTTTGCAAATGAGAATAACAATTTTGAAAATATTAAAAATATACCGCAACTGATAAAAAACTGATGAATGTTAATTATTAATTAATTGCATTTTTTATGTCTCAACGGAAAAGTAATATGAAGGAAGGTCCATTGATATGTTTTCCATATATTTCCATTAAAGTTAATCTCTGAACTGTACACAGCGTGCCTCGGTAGATTCTGAAATGCAAAGTCAATTTTACGGTTTCTTTGCAAACTTTTTCATCTCTTGGCGTTATTTTCAGTGTGCGACTGTGATCGAGAAGCGAACATTAACTAAAAAAATATTTTTCATTGATAATTTTCATCATTTGCATCACCTTTTTTTAAATGTAAGCCAAATGTCCGACAAACGGCAACAAATGTATTTTGAAATTTGATTGCTCCACAAATTATAAACGTAGGTATTTTTATTTAAGCTGTAAAATTTGGTTTTCGTTTGAACACGATATTTAAGAACACACTGAAAATTGGAATTATCCAAATCTAATAAAACATGAAAAATATCAATCAGATTCAACCCGAACGCAAAAAAATCAATGAGTGAAAGCTAATGGAAAAACCCATTTTTCTAAAAAACACCACTAAGAAAAGTTGTTAGTAAACGAATTACATTTAAGGTGAGCATATTTTCAACTTGGAACACGAGAGTGATGGAAACCAGAAAATGACCAAAATTTTCATCATTACATACCATTTTATCTCTTCCGTTGAAAAAAATTAATCTCCGTACAATCTAGGCCAACTAAAGCTAAAGTTAAAAAACTAAAGGAACTACTAACATGGAAAAATGTAGGTGAAAAACTTTCATAAAAGCAAAATAAAACTTCTGAAGAACATAAGACAAAATTTGGTTTAAAAAATATTCGTTTCTGTTATAATGAGTGTTTGAGTAGCACAGGTGATCATTGACATCGAATCTACATACATTAAGATTTAGAAAACAGTTAAATTAAATGCCAATTTGCTTGTTAGACATTACACGTAGAAATACATCCCACAACAATTCGTACATCAAGTGCATTGTTTCGTAATTTGTTTTAAAGTGAGTGATCCTTACTTTTGTATATATTACACCATTTTCTTACCATCTCAAATATAGTTATAAATATAATATATACCTAATATATCTATATTTGTTACGTAACACGAAATATATTTTTATAGATTTTCATCTTTCCGTAATAAAATGTTCTTATACTATACATTAATAAATAAAAAACAACATTTACCCTGCAAGCTAGATTTTACTCTGTAACTGAAAAGAATGCCGTTGATTTTCGGACTGTTATCAGCAAGAATGTAAGTGTTTGTAGAAATTGACTTTATCGTTACATGTATATAATCCCTAATTCTAGCCCATCGAATTTATGGTTCTATTTAACAACACTAGATATATCTAATTCCAAATAGTTCTGCCGATGTTGCGAAGCGAAACAGGTAGAATCAAAATGCAAGAACCAATCGAACCAATCGAGTCAACCGAAGAAGGCAAAAATCATTTGCAATAGAAAAATATTTTTTAAACAACCGCAATGCATAATTTTTGTCTAATAACTGAGAACGTTCCAGTTTTACAGCAGTAATATTACGAGAGAAAGCTGTAACAGTAACAGTTCAGCTACCTGTTGGATCCATTCAGCTGATGATGAAGCTGCTTCTACTGGCGATGGAGCTGCTGGAAACTCATCCACGATTATAACTGAAAAAAAATTGCAGTTTCAATTGTTTTTACGAAAAAATATTTTAATGAGTGTGGTTGTAAAAACATGTCCGGGTAGGAGAATTTGAGAATTTAGAAAGTAGTAATTTTGTCTATGAAGTTTTTGAAATAAATACGTTTTTATTATTTAAGTCTCCTTTTTCAAAATTTGTGTATTTTGTTTTAAAAATAACTTTAAAATTTGTGTTGAATAGTGTTCACTATTTTAAAAACTTCGGAATTTTGATATTGCAGAGTATTTACGGTTTAATAAAAATAATTCATAAAGTTACAGCAAAAATATTTAGGACGGAACTAGAAGAATTTGAAATGCGTGTTGCTAACCGCTTTGATGCAAAATTAAGAGCAAATGAAACTAAATCTATTTTACAAACTTTTCATTGCTGAAATGCCTGATAAACA